AATTCATCATAGGCTTGAGTAGCTATTAAATATATATAAATATTAATTAAGTATTTACTAATTAAAAAAGAAAAAAAAGTTACTTTTGTTAATAAATTAAATGTTTATTTGTATATATGGTATGTTTTTGAATCCAAGAGAACATTAATGCTTTGGTTGTGCTTTTGAAATATGGTGCATATTCATCACTAATAGATAGTATCTTCTCAATACTTAATGCCTCATCAGCAATCTTGTCAGGTCCTTCGTCATTAAATACTTCATCTACCAGTACTTCATTATCAAAAATTTCTTCATCATTCAATAATTTGTCAAATGACTCTTCATAATAGATTTCAGCTTCATTTGGTGACTCATAATTATTTGTAATTTCATAATCAATTTCTTTATTGAACAACTCTTCGCTTGACATTATATAGTCAATTTCTTCATTGAACGACTCTTCGCTTGACATTATATGATTATTCATCTCTTTATAAATTTTATTGTTACATTTTTTAGTATTCAAAGATATATGAAATGTACCACATGGGCATCTTATATAGTTCTTACGTTTTTTATAGAAAACATAACGATTGCAAAATATTTTATCATTTGTGATTATACAAGGATCTGTGATCGATTGAAAATTAATTCTAACTATATTCTTTTTAAATTAAAAATTACCACATATAGTTAGTACACAGGCAAAAGTATTAGGTAGGATATATACACTTATACAGGTATGTAAAATTCAAGTTATATAGTTCTTCAAGGTGGGTTAAATAAGTTCTTCAAGACAGGTTTAAATAAGTTCTTCAAAATCATATAATTTTTATTTAAATTGTAAATTAATTGTTAATTGATCAATTGATTATAAAAAAAAATAATTAATGATCAAATTATATATTACTATTTTTTTTCTCTTTATTTTACCGATTAGCTTTCTTTTTATTTTTCTAAATAATAATGAGCTCTAGAAATGCAAAGAGTCACGCAAATGAAAAAAATAAGCACCAATACTCCAAAAAAAAGAGGCCGCAAGAGAAAAGAAGTAGTTAATTCATCTTTAAATGATCTTAATGATCCTTTGAGTAATACTGTTATTTCACTGAGTAGAAGTACAAAAAAGGTTGCACAAAGAAGCAGCAAGAAGTAGTAGTTATGTCTTTGCTCTCAAATGATCATGATAATAATACACCAAGTAAAAATAAAAGAGGGCGTAAAAAAAACAAGAAAGTGTTGCACCTTAGCCATTACAAATAATTACTGAGTTCTTGAATAATGATGTTTCTAATATTATAGGTGACAATATTTCTAACGATGATGGTCTCAACGATGATAATATTTCTGATGATAATGATGTTCTTAACGATGATGAGTCAGTAGCTTAAGGCTTTATAACTACACAGGAAACAGAATCTAATAGTCAAAACACGTCAATGCTTAATTCAAGAGGCAATA